TTTCCTTGAGTGTCTTTCTTTCACTGATATCATGCTACTCCATAGAGGCTCGGGTGGCGGGTGAGCGAATTAACCCTAGAAATTTTATGTTGCTTTCGGTAGGACCATACTTCCACCTCCCTATTTCAACTGCCAACTGAGTAATTGAATGAGCGCAGTGACCTCTAATCGAACACGGCAAGGATCGTGTTTGACGAGAAGACTGGAAATATCGTTTTTGATACAACGAAGCTTGGGGACACGATACAATCTAAAACCATCTTGATCGAAGGTGACGCCCTGAAGTTACGGCCCTTCGCTGTGGACGTGTGCTTGACTTCTATTAATCTCGCCATTTCGTTAGCAGTATTAAGCAGACGGCCGCCTCGTGTCAATTCACTGACTTCCATTCCATTTAGAAGACCACCGGGAATCACCTTACTGACTTCTAGTTTACCTATTGGACCACATATGGCGGCGTCATTGCCTTCTAGTTTACTTGTTGAGGCCCTCATCTTGCTTTTTTCGAGAAGAGAAGAGAGCGGATTAGAGACTCTTTTTCTACTCTACCTAGTCCGTTACTTTCTTATCTTGAAAATAGAAGGCTGTTGGAAATCGAAGTATGGGCGCAACGTCTAACAAGAAACTTCAACTTTTACGGATACGGCAGCAAAGAAAAAAAGGATGCCTACTGGCAGTTTGCAGGGGTGCTGAACACTAGTGCAGCAAGCAATGGTACTGCAGTGTGCCGAGATTGATTTCCTATCGTTTCTCTCTTTTCTCGGATAGTCGTTCGATCGCACAGAACAACAGTTTCAGAAGAAGCTAGCTACAAGAATTCACTTGAGAAGATCACACTAACACTATGAGTACAGAGCACTCAAGAGAAAGAATTGTGATACTTACACATGAAAGACGCCGGACCATGCTGTCAGAGACGTCCGCGGGCCTTTAACTAACATTAGGGAGACCTCTGCGACCAGTTCGTTGGTCAATGGGTGCTGCAAATTGGATACGGCTCACAGGGCTGCTAGCATTTAAGAAGTAGGCCTGGCTTAGGTCTAACAACACTCAGCAAAGCGCGCAAGCAATGCTAATGAAAATAAGTGGGAAGAAGAACCCTCGCCAGACAGCAGCATGATGCTAAGCAATATTTAGCAAACTCTGACTTCCCCAAACAAATTGAAGAAGCAGCGCGCTGGCTGGCTGCTTTCTGGCTGCGTGCTTTCATCTAAACAGCAAACATCTTTACAGCAGGTGACTGGTCGTTTGTTGCTGCATGATTTCCCCCCAAAGAAACATCTCCACGACAGGTTCCTTGCTTTCATCTAAGCAGCAAACCTCTCCACCTACTTCAAAACAAGAAGCGCGTCCATCATTCATGCCAAATCCTAAACCCAACACTCATCTCCACGACAGATGTCGAGGGGGGACTCCTGAAGTTGCTGGGCCAGGCGAGGAAGAAGCTGACACGCGGGGAGTGTCAAACACGGGATATGAACCAGCTTCAGGACGTGTTTAAGAGTTTCTGGGGTTACGGACGGTTTGAGGGAAAGACTGTCAATAGTGGTCTCCAGCGGTTAGCAAATGATGTTCTAGTGGAGTATTTGGAACATGCGGGTGGGCTCGGAGCGGATGCGTACTATTGACGTCACTAGTCTAAAAGCAGTGCTATCAATAAGAAGTAGTCTAGCAGAGTGCCACTCGTATCATCTTGGCTCGTGGTGGTTCTTCGTCATATTAATAGAAATAATTGCACCAACCCCGCAACCAAGGCGGGGCGAGGTGGAGCGAGCGTGGCCCGCCTGAAGATCACACCGCCCAGCCGATGCCGAGTCACCGCCGGATCCGGCCGCGACTCCGCAAGGCGCAACCGCCTGAGGCAGTACCTCAGGACCGACCCTCACCTTACGACAACCGGCATCTTTTTAGCTTATAGGGCATGGCGCTGGTGCGCTTGTCTCTGTGCGGAATCAATGGGGGCCATGGTGGGGCGTCATGGTGTTCGGGCGTCCGGCCATGCAGCGGGCCAGGGGTGGGCGAGCTTGGCGCCCGAGTCACAGCTAGTACCGCTGCCAGGTGTCGGCCTTTTGCTTTCTTGTTTGACGCTCGCCCATTTGGACGAGAGGGCCTGCGCGAGAGAGCCGCGCCCGCGGCCGGGCTTTGCTTTAAATCGCCCCGAAGGTGAAGAGCGCTGGCCCGAAGAGGCCACTTTGGAGGACAAAGGGCCGGCGACGGTTCTAGATTCAGAACCGGCAGGGGCGCTGCCGTGAAGAGCGGTGAGAGAGATTGCCGGGCCCAGTTCGCGACCCACAGCGAAGCCTAGATCTCGTGGGACAAGTTGGCGAACCCGGTGCCCGATTGCCAGGCGCTACGCCGCTGCGTGTCCCTGCTCTCTTCTCTTCTTTTCATTGGTGTTGCTGTGGTCTATGAGTGCTCGAAGCATGGATGGCGCTGGTTTGCCGGCTTCAAATTCCACAAACGCTCCGCACGAACACTCCTACTCGGGCCGCGGCTCCTATGCGTACTGCTGCGACTGTCCCTGCCTCTCGACCACATCCAATATACCTTTTTTTGGTTGTGAATTCAAAACTGTTGTCGAAAGTCCGATGTCAGCACTAAAAGTACTTATCGCGCATAGGTGCATTAGATTCTATTTGGATATGAAATCTTCTGTGTTGACACGCTCCACACGGCAGGTCTGCTTGGCCGAAATTGAGTGAGTTTGTGGAGAAGACGCTGGATTGTAAGATCGCAACGCAAAGCATTGCGGCGACAGTCATTTCTCCAGACCGCTTTCAGGTGATGTTGGGGAATGCGAGGCTCCTAGCCTATTCCGTGCATGCTTTCAGCACGGTTCCCGACAGTAACGGGGTCGTCCCGCGTTTAAGACTTTTTTTGCTCGATTCTATCTATGATCCATACCGCCTTGCCTGTGGCTTCTTTCTCTAGAGCAGGTCATCAGAGAAAGATTCAATATAGAACGGAGCAACCCCAACAGCGAAGCCTAGACATCCTATCCTATCTTAACCCTATTCCGGCCTCTAATTTTTGACTTCAAGCACGCGCTGCTTGAGGCAAGGTGGAATGCAAAATACGGAGACGAAACTTGTACTTAAGTGCTTCCTCGTAGTAGTTTGTTTCTACTCATTTTTGACTGTTTTCTATTTTCCATCATAGATGGTGGTAGTTTCAACTTGATGCAGGAACCATACTTATGTAGATAAGACGAAGCTGAAAACGTCCAAATTTTTTGTTTACGGAGTCAATCTCTTACTTTTTTCAAGTTAGTAGATTCTGCTCATTCAGCCATCAATGAACAAACATTAGCAACATATAACATACCGCAAAAGATGCTCCGCGAAACAAGCTTGAATGCCTCATGGATGTCGCGTTTAGGGCTTGCCCTAATTCATCTGCTGAAGCAACTTGGAGCTGTCCCGTAAGCTAAGGGGAAACCAGCTCCAAGATGGCCTCCAGGATGGATATAGGTGAGCTCTAAAGCACATAAAAGGAGCAACGGGAACATACAAGAACAAACTGAAAAAGCCGCATTCAACGACTGCATGATGGGGAAGATTACGAACGACCTCAAGAACGCATGGGAGGTTAGGGCAACATTCGCGGGTAAAATAACTGAACAAGAGAAGTTTGACGGAGCCCGCGCTTTGACCGAAATTTTGCGGCATTCGATTGGGTAGTCATATTATATTATAGATATGGACACTGCCTTACTTTTTTTATGTACGCCACCCATCTCCTGGTGGTGACGATAAGAGAGGACAAACCTCCGAAAGGGAATCTAGTTCTTGGGTCAATAATGTGTGTAAGTAGAACACGTTTTCTGTCTCACTCTTTCAAAGGGGTTCGGCGCATCTACTCTTCACACATTGCATAGTTGCTGTTGACGTTTAGCAGGACTACTATAGTTCGTTAGGAGGCACTTCTACTTTTGAATAATATGGATCGTAATAGAAGCAAGAACCTCGCTGAACTATCTCTTTCTGATCACAATGAGTATCAATATCACAGGATCGAAAACGGACAGCCATTGGTTTCGGTGGCCACATTTTTTATGGAGAAGAAGTTTCCGATTGCGGATGTTAATGGAGCAATTGGAACTGGCTGGACAGCAAAGATCGGATGGAGGCAAACTCAAACGCCCAATTAAGGATAGGCTTTAGGTGTTCCCGTTGCCGTTAGTTTTACCTGCTGTGAGAGGGAAAGACATAACTAATGGCGGAAGCTAACGCCAAGAGCCTACCTCTAACACCGCAGGGGCTCTCCTAAAACCGACACTAGTATCGTCCTCAGAGTCGAGAATACGGCGAATGGAGGAAAGCCGAAGGAGTATAAGCTGATTAAGCGCTCTGACCTAGAGCGCCAAAACAATTTACGGCTGACCTGGCGCTTTGTGAGTGTGCGCTTCCATTTTAGACTTGGAAGCTCGATTTCCTTGCTTGCTCTCTGTCCAATTTCGTGCCTGTAGGCACCACGGAAAAACGAGACAGAGAAGCTAGTGATGGAATAGCGCAGCTTGGTCTGTCCTCTAATATTTCCTGCCTTATGGGACCGACGAGGATATCCGAAATTTGCTGAGGCACTTAATGGTGCCTTCGCGATCGACGGGAGAGACGGTAACAAACTCACCGTAGCACCACTGCAAAAACTTACATAGAGATGTGTAGCAGTAAGATAGTGGCTACGCCATCATATGTTCGTCAGTCAGCCAGTCAAGCAGTCCGTCAATGTTTTTCGTGCATGTTATTTTACAACAAATATATACAGCTGATCTTTGGTCTAGAGGTAAGTAGAGTTCGGTTGACAACTAGTTTACAGACACACACAGAAGCTGTATTGGTTTTTTGATAATCCGACGTCCATCCACCTCACCACGAACATCATAGACAACACGCACGAGAAGGCAATAGCGGACGAGCTTTTTTGTCTACTGGAAGCAGCGGACGAGAAGGCAAGGAAAATGACTGAAGAGGCGCAGACACGGGCTGGGAACCAGTATGGAATAGAGGACATGGGACGCAAGCCTGAAGAAATCCAACATTCGAGGAACGTTGATTAAGGCTTGCCGACTGACCTACTTTGTTTCAAGCACATCAATCTAGGAATGTGTCTAACGCACGAAGCTCGTAGACCATATGCGCCATGCAGAGTAGGTCGATTGGATGCCGCTAACTGTAATTGCCGGAGCCCCAGGAGTACGACGAGGCAGCACAGGCCAAGTTTCGAAAGTGTCAAGGACCGCAGAGGCAAGGTGCTCAATATTATAATTGCTTAAGTAAGTGAGTAACTTCTACTTTATAGCAGTGAGAATATGGATAGTTTCAGTTGATCGACATTGCACCAGATGAACTACCAAGCAAGCCCACCAGATAAGAGTATGTTTGTATAGTATTGATGTTTGATAACTGGTATGGCCATAGTGATAGTTCTAAATCGAGTTCCTTTTTGTTGATCACAACAACAGAGAGCCGCACGGCGGAGGAGGAGCGCCAAGCGAAGGAGGCGGAGGCCGCGCGCCTGAAGGAGAAGGAGGAGGAGGAGGCAGAGCGCCTGAAGGTGGAGAAGGAGGAGGCAGAGCGCGTGGCAGAAGGGGAGGCCGAGAGGGCAGCAAAAGAGGCCGAGACGGCAGAAGATCAGGCCAAGAGGACGGGAGGGGAGGTGGAGGCCAAGGAGGCAGAGGCGGCCACGGGGAAAGCAGCTCAGGAACCGGCAAAGGAGGAGGAGCAGAAGGAAGAGGCGGCACGACTAGAGGAGGAGGCGGCACCAGTGGAGGAGCAGTCAGCGAAGGAGGTGGGGGCACCACCGGAGGAGAAGAAGCGGGAACAAACAGACGAGGGGCAAGCGGGACGGGAGGGGGCGTACGAGGTTGTGGCATCACCAGCGGAGGGGGATAAGAATGAGGCACCAGTGAGGGAGGAGCCAGTGGAGGACAAGGTGACACAAGTGGGGAAGGTGCACCCGCACGCGGTGGGAGAGCGCGGGGGGCTGCGCGACAGACAGGCAGCGTCCGTTTCCCTGGAGGCTACGGCAGAGCAACCGGTCGAACAGCCGAGGCATGCACCAGCCCCACCACGGGATCAGCATGAACCAATAGATTTTCTCGCGAATAATGACAGGCATGAAAACGTACAGAGTGGAGACGTGCTAAGGCCCTATAGAATATTAAATCATCTTTCTTAGAATGCATTATCTGCAGAAGCATCCTTTGGAGGGGACTTTGATCGAGATTGGTTTTCAGCCAGAAGATATTCAGAAGCATCATAAGAAGGCTCCTGTGATATTTAGACGGGGTTTACTTTGATAAGGGGTTCAGGCTGTTGAACTTTTCAAAGTTCAAAGGCTTGCTTAGCGAGAAAGCCTAAAAGCTCTAACATTGGCCGGGCCGAAGCATGTACAGGTCAACGTTCGCGCGAGCCCAGTTGTGGTCGGTAAGCTCCTTACTTTGTGCACTTTTGTGTTTTAACGGTGCGTAAGTTATTATAGGTTCCCCTGCTGCCGTGATTTTTGTCTTTCGCAAGGGGGGAAGGGCGCACGAGCTGGGGAGACTGACACCAAAGCCCTGCCGCTAAACTTTCCTATAGGCATGGGCCTGCGTATCCGGCTAGAAGTTGACGCTTCGAAACATAGACTTAAAGAAGATGGATGGACTCTTTTCTTTGTGCATTTGCAATTTTCCTGCCGAACCCGAAGAACTTTTCTTGTTCCCTTCAGTCGATGAATATTGTTGACATCGAAAAGCGCCAGGAGGTAACTACTTCACCCAAATCAAAATCAGACTTTTTTTATCCAAGTCAGACACTCCCCTACCCAAATCAAAGTCACTGCGAAGGCGTATGAATATTACACATGATTAATATACACGACGAAAATCCGTTTTCACTTTCAACGTATCCTAGAAGATGAAATGGCTGAAAATGGAAACGCTTTTTGACTGAGTGCATTAGCTACAACAAAACTTCAGATGTGCACTCATGTGCTCCCGGCAGTGGCTTTTTGCAGCGGTGTGGAGATGATCGGAAAACGACGGGGAAACCGCGGCTGAGAGGTGGAAAGGGTGCGAGTGCGGCTTTTTTGAAAAAACGTCCTGGCAAGGTTGGTACTACGCAAGAAAGTGACTGTCCCCTACTAGTCCTTCTTATAATATTACTCCCTTCATTATGACAGCGCTAAGAAAATGACAGCCGATAACCAAAAGTGGCAATCTTGAGCATTTGCTTTATTGTGGTTTTTGTAGGTAGTGAGCACTATTTTCTTACTTGCTTCCTTCATCATGAATACAGCTATTTTGTTACAGCTTAGCATTGGTAGATAAGATTCGCCACATTTGTTTCTACTGTCTGTTTAATAATATTGATACTCTCGCATTTTTCACACACTCGAAGTTTTCAACATCTTTTTATTTGTACTTAGAGAGTAGCTATCTGCAAATAACTTTCAGGTAATGAAAATGCGGAGAAGTCGTGTGGTTTTTTTGGGTGGTGTGGCAGCACAGCCACAGCCCCTACATCCGACGACGGGAACACGGCCTCTACGCCGCGTCTGAGGTCTTTGACTGCTCAGGCAGTTCTTAAGGCTCTTAGAATTTCAATTTAGCGTATTGAGCACAGTCGTACTTCTTTAAGATATGAGTCATCGGTCTCAAGGATGCATGTTGAGTCTCAGGGATGCATGTTGAGTCTCAAGGATACATGTTGAGTGTCAAGG